GCATTGTATGATAACAGGCTACGATGGGACTTGTATACTTTACATTTATAGCTTTGAATAAGGAAGGTTGGGAGAGATGGAATTGAGGCAGGAACCAATCTTGTGCCGGTAAGTTATGTTTAGTCTACCCTTTCAAACTTTTATGGATTGTGCAATTTCAATGCAGGGTGTTTTTCTTGCGTTTAGTGCAAATTGAAGATTTTTGATATTCTGTTTGCGTTTTGTGTTTGGGTGCTAGGATTCTGGTACAAGATCAATTGCAAGGGTTTCTGTGACAGTAGTTGCATTGGCTCTTTCACTATGTGCTGTTATGTTTCTATTTCTCTCCTCCTGCAAGAACAGTTGATCGATGATGTTATTTTGACTTCGCTTTTTCCAGAATGTATATGAAGTATGCATGTGCTACCATTTGTGTGTTTGTGTTTTAAAATCAACTCCTTTTTCTGCGTTACTAGTTTCTACAAGGAAATGAGATGCAATGTAGACAAGTAAATTTCCTCTTGTCAGTAAGAAAGCATTATTCTTGCATAGATAGTCCTTATTTTCGAAGTACATAAATATTATGTAATTGTAATGAACTAAGCATTTTATGATAACAGGCTACGATGGGACTTGTATTTGTATACTTTACATTTATAGCTTTGAATAAGGGTGAAGGACCAAGGGGGGTTGGAGGCAGGAACCAATCTTGTGCCGGTAAGTTATGTTTAGTTTACCCTTTCAAACTTTTATCGATTGTGCAATTTCAATGCAGGGTGTTTTTCTTGCTTTTAATACAAATTGAAGATTTTTTATATTCTGTTTGCGTTATGTGTTTGGGTGCTAGGATTCTGTGCCAAGATCAATTGCAAGGGTTTCTGTGACAGTAGTTGCATTGGCTCTTTCACTCTTTGTACTCAAGTCTTTACTGTCTACAGTTTTCTTTGTGCTGGTATGTTTCTATTTCTCTCCTCCTGCAAGAACAGTAGATCGATGATGTTATTTTGACTTGCTTTTTCCAAAATGTATATCAACTATGCTTGTGCTATCATTTGTGTGTTTGTGTTTTAAAATCAACTTCTTTTTCTGAGTTACTAGTTTCTATAAGTAAATGTAGACAAGTAAATTTCCCTTCTTTGGTTTTGCCACATTTAGAGTAGCACCTAATCCTGAATTTTTATTTCCATTTTTTGGTGAGAAAAGCATTTACCATTACACATATCATCAAATATGCAATAACATTATGCTCAGAGAGTGTAACACTAAACCTGTTGAGACACCACAACTGAGGATGCAGACTTTGTCTAACGGTGCTGACGGATCGATCTTGGCAAGGCAGCCTTCATGGATGACTGTATATTCACTGAAGGTGGATGTGCCAAGAAAGTGATTAATAGGAGTCCCATTCTTGGAAAACCTTTGTTTCCCATCACCAATCATAACTCCTCTATCTGTATTGATTCTCAACAGGTCACACATATTGCTTTCCTCAGACTTGCAATGCACGCAATCCCCACACTCCCCTGTGAAAACTGGAAGCACATGATCCCCGGGCTTGAGGTTTTTAACGCCGTCCCCAACACTCTCAACAACTCTGTTATGAAAATCAGCATTTGCATTCATAATGTGAACTAAAGCAGGTTATGGAAGCCAAGGGAGCGGGTAAGGAAGAAAGAAAAGGAACAAATACTGGGAAAAATAGTCCATTCTGAAGCCAGAGGAAGTAAGATTCACTTAAAAGCAACAACGTACCATGACCGAATATTCGGGGGAAGAGTGGTGTCTGGCCCTGAAGGGTCATAAAGAAACATATAACAAATAAGTAAAAGATTCAAACTTATGCTAAATGGGAAACAAAAAAATGAAGAAAAAAACATAAGACCCCAAAGAAATGGAAAGCATTCTGATAAAAATAGAACCGACCTTGGCTTCCCAGAAGTAGAAATCAGTGTGACAAAGTGAGGTATATTTGATTTTGACCCTCACTTCATTAGCCTGGGGTGGAGCAACCTCTACCTTCTCTATCACCAATGGTTTTCCTGCTTCCCATGCGACCGCCGCTGCAAAATCAAACAACAGGAGAAAAAAAAAATCCCTTCTTTCAAAATTAAGAAATTCTAAAAGGAAGCAAATAAATATAACCAATTTTACAATGTACCCAATTCAAGAAGTAAAAAAAAAAAGCTTAAAAAGTATGAAATGTTGCATTGGTATACCTTGTTGGTGGCCAATATGAAATGAAGCATATTGTGAAAATTATGACATTGTTGGTGGCCATCCCTGCCTTGTGGATTGGTCTCTTCCAGGCAGCAATTATCCCACGTAGTCATGCGTGGTTGGTGAGGAGAATACGGAAAAGGAAATAAATGCAACTATTGGAATTAAGGATTTGATGAACAAAAGTTTCCCAAAACTTACAGCCAGGCCAACAGCCCCAAGTCCAAAGACAGCAACTGAAGATCCCTTCTTCGGTTTTGCTACATTCAGGGTGGCACCCAAGCCTGAAATTTATAAAGAAAATATCACACAAACGATTAATTATGGAATGTTTGGATACATAAATCATGACCATAATGCTTTGAGTATGACACCAAACCTGTTGAGATGCCACAACTAAGGATGCAAACTTTATCCAAAGGTGCCAGGCGATTGATCGTGGCAAGACAGCCTGAATGAACAACAGTATATTCACTGAAGGTGGATGTGCCAAGAAAGTGATTAATAGGAGTCCCATTCTTGGAAAACCTTTGTTTCCCATCACCAATCATAACTCCTCTATCTGTATTGATTCTCAACAGGTCACACATATTGCTTTCCTCAGACTTGCAATGCACGCAATCCCCACACTCCCCTGTGAAAACTGGAAGCACATGATCCCCGGGCTTGAGGTTTTTAACGCCGTCCCCAACACTCTCAACAACTCTGTTATGAAAATCAGCATTTGCATTCATAATGTGAACTAAAGCAGGTTATGGAAGCCAAGGGAGCGGGTAAGGAAGAAAGAAAAGGAACAAATACTGGGAAAAATAGTCCATTCTGAAGCCAGAGGAAGTAAGATTCACTTAAAAGCAACAACGTACCATGACCGAATATTCGGGGGAAGAGTGGTGTCTGGCCCTGAAGGGTCATAAAGAAACATATAACAAATAAGTAAAAGATTCAAACTTATGCTAAATGGGAAACAAAAAAATGAAGAAAAAAACATAAGACCCCAAAGAAATGGAAAGCATTCTGATAAAAATAGAACCGACCTTGGCTTCCCAGAAGTAGAAATCAGTGTGACAAAGTGAGGTATATTTGATTTTGACCCTCACTTCATTAGCCTGGGGTGGAGCAACCTCTACCTTCTCTATCACCAATGGTTTTCCTGCTTCCCATGCGACCGCCGCTGCAAAATCAAACAACAGGAGAAAAAAAAAATCCCTTCTTTCAAAATTAAGAAATTCTAAAAGGAAGCAAATAAATAGAACCAATTTTACAATGTACCCAATTCAAGAAGTGAAAAAAACAAAGCTTAAAAAGTATGAAATGTTGCATTGGTATACGTTGTTGGTGGCCAATATGAAATGAAGCATATTGTGAAAATTATGACATTGTTGGTGGCCATCCCTGCCTTGTGGATTGGTCTCTTACAGGCATCAATTATCCCACGTAGTCATGCGTAAATATGATTTTTGTTGTTTATGGATCATATACTTTTGGTTTTTTTTTTGTTGGTTGAATGAAATTATTCTATTTAAGCAGGATTTTGCTTCATATTCATAAAAAGAAAAAGGAATGAGCAAATTTTTTTTTAAAAATTATATACTAAGGGCCTCGTTTAATTTTTGGCCATGGGCCACCAAAATGTCAGGGCCGGCCCTGCTCCTAATGGTTGGAGTTGGCCTGAAGCAATTTCCAACTTGTCCTCAAGAAGCAATATTATTGCAGCTGGTAGTTTACTTTTCTATTTATTTTCTGTTCAGTTTAGATTGCTAAATTATACTTTTGTTAAGCTCTGTTACACACATCTCTCACAGATTTCTTTTATATATGTTTTTTTTATTAATGAAATTTCTTTTATGTATGTTTTGAGTTTGAGACTTATGCATAATATGGATCCGTCTTGAGCTTCCATCGTCGGCCTTTGTCATTAGACCACTATCTTTTTTTAGAAGTTACTGAGAAAAGCCATGTTTTAAACTCTTTTTCTAATCCTTTTTGTCTCCTGTAGGATGTAGCTGAGGCCAAGGAGTTTTTGAAGCAGAAAAGGGGTCGATGTGGGTGGTTGTGATTGATTCTGCACACAGAGTTCTGCCTCGGTGTTTCGATACAAAGAAAATACCTAATTAAATGCAGAATCCATTGAACTCCGCTCATTCTAGCAGTGGTATGGGGGAAGACTTCATAACAGTTCATTGCTTCCACCTGATGGGAAAATTGGGAAGGTTTTACTAGGCGAAGCAATGAACCCCTTTGGAGTTTTTAACTTTTAACAACAAACATTAAGCCTTTTGGCTTATTGAATTGTGGGAAATAGAAAGAACTTTGGAAAGTGTACATGTTATAGGTGATCATTTCCTGTTTATGTCTCAGAGGAAATTTGTATCCTTTGTTCTTTTTGCTACAAGTATACAGGCTTTTATGATTCAAGTGGCTCTCTCTCTCTCTCTCTCTCTCTCTCTCTCTCTCTCCCCTGCATCCAGTTGCACATAAATAGGTCTTCCTGCATCTGTGGGATGCATGACTGGGGCTCTTAACCACAGGATGCACTGAGGTCAGTGCATCATGTGGTCCTAGTATCCACCTTCGTGTATGTGAGACTGGATGCAGGCCCGATTTGGGTACTGTAGCAATTGTTCTTGCCCGATATTGCTAGAAATGAATGCACTGGCTCATATCGAGCTCACCTATACACACACACATATATACTTAGTCACAACCAGCTGTAAAACTGTAAAACTGTAAGGGTAAATCAGTAAAACCAATTTACACATCAACATTACCTTCAATACATCCAATCCAACTTGCACTCCTAGCCCAACCCAACCTTAGAAGACCCGGCCCGTTTTATACTATAGTACCAAATGGGCCTAACGATGAAACGCCTCGTTTAATATAGTATTGGTGTGCCAATTCAAAACACTGCTCTCCAATCTCAGACCCAAAAAAAAGGAACCCTAAAATTTCTCTCTGTATCTCCAAACTCACACAGAACTTGGCGCCTACTCTAAGTTCGTTAGTTTGTTGCTTATAACATGTGTACTTTACCCGGTCACCATTTTCATTCTCTCAAAACTCACTGAGCTCCAAGAAAACCAAGAAGTTCATCTATTTCTGGTAAGTCGTCCTAAATTTTGTTCATGCACTATGCTTTGTTCTGTATGCGTATAGTCCTTGGTGTTTTGTTTTTGGAGAGTAGATTCAATACAATAGAAGGGCTGAAAGAATGAAGAAATTCGTTGAAAAAAAGCCGAGAGATATGATGATAAGAAGATGTCGACTGACCTAATTTCAGGGTTTAGGTATCGCCGTATCCATATCCATGTCCGTGACTCTTCTCTTGACCTCCTTCACTGGATTGGATTCCATACGGATTTAGGGGTTGTTCATGCACTATGCTTGTCTTTGTTTTGTATGCGTAGTCCTTGGTGTTTTGTTTTTGGGTCTCTTCTTTCTCTTTGTGTGTTTATTTTGATGGCTTCTCCCATTTTCTTAGCAGCCACTTGATGCCTCAGAGACCCCAGTTCACCTACTAGAAATTCCAGAGGACATATTTCAATATATATGCCGGAAACTATCATTGGGTACACTCCTGCGATGCAGGAGATTGTCAAGGGCATTCCTTTTGAAACTCTCTAAAATCGACCTCGGTTTAGACACCCTGCTGCTAGTACGTATACCAGGTAATAGGAATTATGAAGGGATATACCCCCATAGGGAGGCTTTCACCTCTTCGGATTCGAGCATATCACTCCCTTGAAAATTGAGGGTCAAGTTCGCTGAGAATTGGAGCATTTCAGCCCCATACAAATTGAGAGTCAAGTTCGTTCATTTCCCACAATCGGGTCTGTCCTGATTTTGGAGTCAGATATTTCGGGTTCATCAAGGGGCTTACTGTGTGCAAGGAGTGTAAAATAAGTACAATGTTTGGAACCCCCTCATTGGAGGATCCATAAGCTCTCCAGCAATCCCGAGGAAGTACACGGATCCTCCAATGAGGGGTTTCAAACATTGTACTTATTTCCACTCCTTGCACACAGTAAGCCCCTTGATGAACCCAAAATATCTGACTCCAAAATCAGGACAGACCCGATTGTGGGCAATGAGCGAACTTGACTCTCAATATGTATGAGACTGAAATGCTCCAATTCTCGGCGAACTTGATCCTCAATTTTCACGGGAGTGATATGCTCGAATTCGACAAGGTGAAGGCCTCCCCATGGGGGTATATCCCTTCATAATTCCTGTTATCTGGTGCATATACTAGTAGCAAGGTGTCTAAACTGAGGTCGGTTTTAGAGACCCTGAAAATGAAACTGTTTCCTGGCATCTCAACCCAAATGGGGGAACCAGTGGGTTAAAGACTTTTCAATTCAGTCTATACTTCCTCCTCGGCTTGTGAAGGTGATGACAGAAAATCAGATACTCATCATGCATGAAGGCAACTTGAAATCCTACTTGCCTCACTGGAAAATCATCCTAAAGGTTCCTCTCCATCACATCCATGAATACCTGGAGGAGTGCTCCAACCAAATTTGGTGTCAGCACATTCACTGATGGAGAATCAAATTCCAACTGAACCGCCTGAGATAGCCACTGTAAGTAGCTTCTCTATATATGCACCAGCGACTTTTAGATTATCCTGGCTTCTCTTTTTTCAACATGTGAAAACAATGAAAAGGGAAATTTATGATTTTATCTAGTCGTTTGTTTCTATTTATGATTGCCTTGAGATACATATACATTGTCATATATGGTTTTCTTGTGCCTGCTAATTATAGTGTAGTCTTGTTACCATTGATCAACTGCAGTAAGAACCCTATTAGAAATTGTTTTTTTCAACAATAACAAAGATGACAAAGTGGTGGAGAATCCAAATTAGCAAACGTAGTAGATTGTGTAATCATGAGAAAGAAAGACAGTTAACTTGATTTCTTTTAACGGTAACTGTCATGTGCCAATTTGTTTAGATGTATTTAAGTCATTTGATCCACAGATTTAATTCCTTTGCACTGAAAAATAAAGCATATGATTTGATGTGCTTGGGTGTTGAATGAGTTCACTCATGGAAAACAACAAAAAGTGAGCAAGACTGAGAACAAAGAGGCTGTTTCAGATATTCTATTAGGCATGGCCGCTGGTTTGAAGAGAGACCCTATTGTGATCCTCCGTATTGATGGAGAAGATCTCGACAAATTCATCAATGGGCCAATTTTTGAACCAGAGATGGTAGCCACGTATTCTGAGATAAAGTCAGCTGATGGAAGTTTAACCCTCCGTGACTATATAGCCAAAGCTTTGGAAAAACTCACGGTTGAGCAAGGGATGCCCCCTTCATCAGACTCTTGGGTAGCTGATCTTCTCCAACTAACATTTACTAACAATTCTATAATTGGATATTCAGCGACATCATATATATATATATATATATATATATATATATATATATATGTCAAATTTGTTATCATATTGTAACCCAAAAAAATTTGCTATCGTTTCTGGTGATGTACTAGATAGATTAGAGTGCTGGATGCCTTGGACACACAATGTGCGAATTCATCATTTTGAAATCTGTGTCTTCTGTCTTTAGGTAATGAGGAACATCGTGGTTGTGAAAAAAACGAAAAATAAATAAAAATCTTGGAGGTTTATGCTGGTGCAGGGCCACCAATAAAACGCAGAAAGCGACATCGGAGAAAGCATTTCCAAAACCAAGAACCATGTCTAATGAGAGGTGTCTATTTCAAAAATATGAAGTGGCAAGCAGCTATAAAACAAATCCACTTGGGCACTGTTGGTTCACAAGAGGAGGCTGCTCGTTTGTATGACAGGTACAACTGCATCTTTGCTAACCAATCTATATCGGATGAGCACTATAAGGAATAGCAATAATGTAGCATATACAAGTTCTTCCAGTTGTGCATAGCCCGCTGATAATGATCGTTCCCCTTCAAAGAGAACGTACACCAGTTGACATAATTTGGAGGAGAGCCACAAACCATTTACAGTTCTCTTTTGTCTCCCTAGGGAATCCTCTTTATTAGAGGTTGGTCATCATGTTGTTACAAACAGTATGAACATAGGTTCTTCTACGCGTTCTACTCTTTGTTGCACCTTCAAATGAAACAATATTAGTCTTCATTGTTGCTTCACTGGTTTTTCCAGCCCACATTCTTCAGAGAGGGTCTCCATTAGATAGGACACGCCATCCTAAATGTTCATTCCAGCCAGTTTTCTGCTAGGTGTCTTAAATTTTCATCAGTCTCTTCTTTTGTTTTCTAATAGTTAGCCGTGTCCTATATTCTCCCATCAGTTTTTTTTTTCTTTTCTTTATTTTCTGAATTTTGTTCTGCAAGTCTATACTGTATTGTGTCTGCCCTTACCAACATGATGTAGTGGTTCATGCGACTCCCCCAACATGCAAAAACATGAACACGAACATGATAAGCCAAATGGAAAAAGGGGTGTAAGCTTTATGTGTAAAATGCTATATTATAGCACATATTTAACTTTGTTAGTATTATTTATTTGGATTCAGGGCTGCTTTCATGCGTGGGAGGGAACCAAATTTCGAGCTTTCTGAAGAGGAGAAGCAAGAACTCAGGAAATTCAAGCGGGATGAATTCTTGGTCATGACTCGTCATGCATTTGTTTTGGGGAATTAGAGGGAAGTAAGGGCTGTATGTTTTTTTAGCATTTGTGGGTAGAAAATACCTGCACAAACTGGTCATGTTAGCCTTTTCTTTTTGTTCTGAATTTATGAGTACAGTTGAACTGGTTACACTTGCTGTTGAATTGATTGTGTGCGCCGTGTATTATTATGCTGCATTCTTTATTTTCTTTCTTTTGCGGTGTTGCTTGCATATTTAAGATACTTGTTTCACCATGGATGCAGACGTGCATTGCCATGTGTTCTTGGTCACAATTCTTTTGTTGCTTTAGCACACTTGAAAGACATTTTGTGTTATCAAGCAAGATATGATAGTGGTCCACTTGTGGTGCTTTTTTTTCTTTTCACTTATGTTATTTGTAACTTACAGAGGAGTGGGAACTCTTCAATATAAATCAATGAACCATATTGTGAAAATTATGACATTGTTGGTGGCCATCCCTGCCTTGTGGATTGGTCTCTTACAGGCATCAATTATCCCACGTAGGCATGCTTGGTTGGTGAGTTATTTGTATTTTGGTTGGTTTATGTCAACACCTTTCGCTTATTCATGTTATATGATGCTTACTATGCCCTGTTTCTACCTTCTTCCCAGCTACCAATATATTTCATTGTGTCTCTAGGATGCTAAGGGCTCCTAATGGTTGGAGTTGGTCTGATGCAATTTCCAACTTGTCCTCAAGAAGCAATATTGTTGCAGCCGGTAGTTTACTTTTCTATTTATTTTCTGTTCAGGTTAGATTGCTAAATCATGCTTTTGTTAAGCTCTGTTACACACATCTCTCACAGATTTCTTTTATATATGTTTTTTTTATTATTAATGAAATTTCTTTTATATATGTTTTGAGTTTGAGACTTGCGCATAATATGGATCCGTCTTGAGCTTCCATCGTCGGCCTTTGTCATTAGACCACTATCTTTTTTTTAAAAGTTACTGAGAAAAGCCATGTTTTAAACTCTTTTTCTAATCGTTTTTGTCTCTTGTAGGATGTAGCTGAGGCCAAGGAGTTTTTGAAGCAGAAAGGGGTTGATGTGGGTGGTTGTGATTGATTCTGCACACAGAGTTCTGCCTCGGTGTTTCAATACAAAGAAAAGACCTAATTAAATGCAGAATCCATTGAACTCCGCTCATTCTAGCAGTGGTATGGGGGAAGACTTCATAACAGTTCATTGCTTCCACCTGATGGGAAAATTGGGAAGGTTTTACTAGGCGAAGCAATGAACCCCTTTGGAGTTTTTAACTTTAACAACAAACATTAAGCCTTTTGGCTTATTGAATTGTGGGAAATAGAAAGAACTTTGGAAAGTGTACATGTTATAGGTGATCATTTCCTGTTTATGTCTCAGAGGAAATTTGTATCCTTTGTTCTTTTTGCTACAAGTATACAGGCTTTTATGATTCAAGTGGGGCTCTCTCTCTCTCTCTCTCTCTCTCTCTCTCTCTCCTGCATCCAGTTGCACATAAATAGGTCTTCCTGCATCTGTGGGATGCATGACTGGGGCTCTTAACCACAGGATGCACTGAGGTCAGTGCATCATGTGGTCCTAGTATCTCTCAACCGTATAAGGTTACTTAGTCACAACCAGCTGTAAAACTGTAAAACTGTAAAACTGTAAAGGTAAATCAGTAAAACCAATTTACACATCAACATTACCTTCAATACATCCAATCCAACTTGCACTCCTAGCCCAACCCAACCTTAGAAGACCCGGCCCGTTTTATGCTATTGTACCAAATGGGGCCAACGATGAAACGCCTCGTTTAATATAGGTATAGCATTCGCGAGCCAATTCAAAACAGTGCTCTCCAATCTCAGACCCAGAAATTTCTCTCTGTATCTCCAAACTCACAGAGTCTCCCGAAACCCTAATTTCTTCATTCTTTCAGCCCTTCTATTGTATTTCATTTTCAGGGTTTCCATTAAAATAGAGAGCATTGTTCACTGCGGCTAAGCCGTATACTTCCCCGACGGGTTCAGAAGGTAACTGAAAACAAGCAGCGTGTCTATGGTTGTAAAGACAACTACTTTATACAATTTTGAAATCTGTGACAGTAGTTATCTTTACCACCGTACACAAGCTGCTTATTTTCTGCTTCGGAGCTGATACAAAGTGGAGAGAGGCAGCGAGAAGCTAATGGCGAAACCGACGCGAGGACCATTTGGAGTTTACCTTAATGATAAACTCCATTGGCTTGGAAAAACACATGGAGGCAACGTGATTTGTACATTTTATCTCTGCTCTATTTTAATGGAAACCATGAAAATAAAACTGGTGCAAGTAGCTTCTCTATATATGCACCAGTGACTTTTAGATTATCCTGGCTTCTCTTTTTTCAACATGTGAAAACAATGAAGAGGGAAATTTATGATTTTATCTAGTCGTTTGTTTCTATTTATGATTGTCTTGACATACATATACATTATCATTGTCATATATGGTTTTCCTGTGCCTGCTAATTATAGTGTAGTCTTGTTACCATTGATCAACTGCAGTAAGAACCCTATTAGAATTTTTTTTTTTCAACAGTAAGAATGATGACAAAGTGGTGGAGAATCCATATTAGCAAACGTAGTAGATTGTGTAATCATGAGAAAGAAAGACAGTTAACTTGATTTCTTTTAACGGTAACTGTCATGTGCCAATTTGCTTAGATGTATTAAAGTCATTTGATCCACAGATTTAATTCCTTTGCACTGAAAAATAAAGCATATGATTTGATGTGCTTAGGTGTTGAATAAGTTCACTCATGGAAAACAACAAAAAGTGAGCAAGACTGAGTACAAAGAGGCTGTTTCAGATATTATATTAGGCATGGCCGCTGGTTTGAAGAGAGACCCTATTGTGATCCTCCGTATTGATGGAGAAGATCTCGACAAATTCATCAATGGGCCAATTTTTGAACCAGAGATGGTAGCCACGTATTCTGAGATAAAGTCAGCTGATGGAAGTGGAACCCTCCGTGACTATATAGCCAAAGCTTTGGAAAAACTCACGGTTGAGCAAGGGATGCCCCCTTCATCAGACTCTTGGGTAGCTGATCTTCTCCAACTAACATTTACTAACAATTCTATAATTGGATATAGGGAATAAAAATTACGTTAAATTTTGCTACTGAATTTATAAACGAACATGCTGCAAAGGAGCCAAAGTGTCAGCGACATCATATCATCCTATAAATTTACATGTCCGCGCCACATTATTGTAGGTTGTAGAACCTAGAAGAGTTGCATTGGAATCTTCATTCTGGAGTGCTTATTATGTGTTTCCCTCTTTGATGGTTATTTTCGTGTTTTAGGTTATTAGCAATATCGTGGAACCTGCTCTTGAATCATGCACTGGCCATGATTTGGACGAGCCTGTATCTCAAGGAAATTTCATAGAGGAGTTTAAGAAAGTGGCAGAGTCTGTGGCTCAACGTCTTAAGGAACAGCCTGTGAATGTAGCCCACAGTGAAACTTACTTTGATGGAAGTGGCATTAAGAGACTGTTGTCCAACAAGTTTGAATTAGACAAGGTCTGTCTCATAAAGATGCCTTCTCTTTTTGTCATTGGCCATTTGCGTACTTAATCATGTGTGAATTCATACTTTTTTAGTATGCATTTTTATTTTCTGCTTAGAGTGCCATACATATTGAATTCCCTTATATTTCAATCTATTGTGAAATGCAGTCGCTGAATGCAGCTGTTGAAAACGAGCCAAAAGACCACAGTGGGAAACTGTCCAAGGAATATTTGCGTGTGGCGCTGGATGTGGTGGCTCCAACGGCTGGTCTGGCATCACTTGGTGTAGTTGAGCAGGTGCTTTGTTAATTACCTCTGTTATTATGAACTCAAACAACCTATTCAGCAAATATTAGTAACTTATGCCTGTCCAAGTGAGTGACTAATGCAACATGTCCCATGACTTACAGATGGACAAGGTTGTGCGGGATGCGTTCAACTTGATGAATGAAGATGATGGAAAGCTGCTCAAAGAAGACGAGTTCAAGAAGATATTGACTGAAATCCTGGGGAGCATCATGTTGCACTTGGAGGGAATTCCTATCTCAGTTTGTTCAAATTCAGTTGTGCACGAGCCCCTTTCCTCTTCTTGTACACTATTGCAGCCATCTTCCTAGTTATAGAGCAATAGCTCTCGTGAATATATCTAGCGTAACAAAGATAAAACTGGCAGTAAAATTTTGATGAAGGAAATGTTGACTACCACAAGTTTGTGTGTTGCTAGTTAGAGATGGAGCCAAGATTTATCAATGTCCACTACTGTGTCTGTTGTGACTGATTTCTGTTTGATGCATTCAGGGCTCGATCTGAAATTGTAACTAGAGCAAATGGAAACTGGATTTGTCCCTCCTTGATGCAATTGGTCTCTGCTGGATATAAAAGCACCTTGCCTTGAATATCATGTTTAGATGCAAGTCAAGATTGGGTTAATTAGTTTCATCTTCGAGTCTATAAATTGCAGAGTAATACCATTTCTAGTACTTATCAGCCCCATCTATAGATTGAAAAGATGAAACCCAGCAATACTAATAGCTACAATACGAAGAATTTACTATGATCTACTCTGCCAAACAAAGATAAAGCTAAACATGATATTCAATTCAAGTCAAAAAAATAAATCTTCAATTTTCAACTACCCTTATGAAAAACATAATAAAATATAAAATATAAAGAATCTCAGGCAGTCTAAAAATCAACTAAAATAGAAACCACTTACATGTTGCAGTATCAGCACTAGCTGCAGATGTCACGATACCTAAGCTTGTAATTGCTTCAGTTAAACCCCCATATCCAACGCTTTTGAGGATTTCAAAAGTTTTGGTATCAGCTGGTTCAGTTATAATTCTTGGTTCTGGCACAATGGTGACTATAGTAGTATTAGAAATTTCTGTTTTAGCTGGCCCTGCATCAACACACTATCACGCTATATTTTGTTCTTCGCTCTTCAATTGGGCTCTTGTTTTCTTCTAGGATCTCTCCTTTAGGTATTTCACTTTCATGACAGTAGTTACTACAGCATTAACAAATTCATATGAACATTGGCTACTGCACTTATGTGCATGTGAGCAGCAATACAATGACGATGATTATATAACAGCAGGCAGAAAAAAAAAACTAGTTTGATGCAGAGGACTAGAAAAATGTAGAGGCTGTATAAACTTCTAGTGTCAATCTTACGGTCTGGTTGTATAAACAGGTTGGATTGAATGGTTAAAGCATTTTGTCAAACGCATGAAAAATTGCATTAGTAATTGTATGTGTAGCATTGATACTTCCACATTCTAAAATGATTTGTTTGTCGTTCTCATAGATGAGACGGTCTTGTTCATACCTGCATCATTTTCTATAAGTTGTGGGCCATCTTCTGAAATGGGTACAGCATATATTTCCGGTGCTGGGGGTGTTTGTACCAAAAATGGAAAAAGCCCAATAAGGGTTTAATTTAAAATTTCAATTTAATAAATATAGTAATAATAACAAATATAAATTTAATAATAATTTTTGTATTTCGAAATACTCACAAAAATTCCAACATCGACAACTACCTGGAATTTTTTTTACAGAATAAAATACATCCTTCCTAACCTGTTACTATTAGGCATGTAATTATTGCACATCCATAACTCTTAGGAGAGTGTATTAGGGTAAATCATGGGTTTTTTTGGCAGTTAAATAGGTTGTACTTAGTTAATTTTACATTTTCATTGAAATATTATGGTGTACTTAGATCATAGGGTGTATTGGGTTAATTTTAGAGTTCGTTTAGCAATACTCTTTTCTATATACGAAAGAAAATATCAAAATCAATTAATCTAAGGAGTTACATTACACATTTTAACATGAAAATATTTTGAATTAATTACATGTTTTTTTATTTAAGGATTGTAATGATAAATTGTATATTTTGTGCTTGATCCTTTTAGAAAATACAATTAATAAATTGAATTTACTAATAAATTTAAGATAACTAAATGGATGCGAAAGTAAGAAAAAATAGTGGAATTCAAGGTGAAGATAACTACGATGTACCATAATCATAAATTATTATCGTGTGGACCTATTTCTTACTATCATTAATAAGCAACTAGTGGAATTGAATAATCGCTTCACAGAGGTAAATACTGAATTGCTCCTTTGTATGGCATGTTTGAGTCCGGCTTATAATTTTGCAGCTTTTGACAAACAAAAAATACTTCATTTTGCTAAATTTTACCCTCAAGAATTTAATGACCGAGACCTCATGAAGCTTGAAGATCAACTTGGGCTTTATATTGTTGATATGCAGAGCAGCACAGAGTTTTCATCATTGAACGGAATTACTGATCTGACCGAAAAATTGGTGAATACAGGAAGGAGTAGAATATACAACTATGTGTATTTACTTGTTACATTGGCTTTAGTTTTACCCGTTGCGACTACTTCGGTTGAGAGAGCTTTTTCAGCTATGAATATTGTGAAAACACCATTGCGTAACAAAATGGGGAATCAATGGTTGAGTGATAGCTTGATTGTTTACATTGAGAAAGATGTTTTTTCTTGTATTAGTAATGCAAATATAATGCGACGTTTTCATGATATGAAACCTCGTTGGCAACAATTGTAGGTTAATAGTAATGTTATTTTTTTAATTAATTATGAATAACATTAGTATTGTTTAAATGATAAGGATGTTTAGTTTTTTTTTTTTTATTTTTTTTTTTTTTTTTGAGCTCTTAGCTTTTCAAAATTGCACCTTTGCTGAAAAATTCCTGGGTTCGCCGCTGATCATAATACCCCCAATCAGTAAAATAAACCCAATAATATAAGAGCATCCACAATCATGCTCTCTATTATTTAGTTAAATTTTAGCTAAAAACATGTCAAAGTTATTTTAGGAGCTCTCTATAAAATTTAAACTTCAATCATGCTCTCGAGTTTAGAGAGTCATAAATGCCATAACTCTTTTTTGATTGGTCCATCTCTATTATAAAATAAAATAAAAAATAGTTAGCATTAAAAAAAGGTTTGAAATACTCATTAAATAAAGCAGCATTAAATTATAGGGAGTCATTAGGAGTCCTTTCTCTCTCCTCAGATTTAGGAGGTGGATAGGGAGCATGGTTGGAGTTGTATTTTTACAATTGCTCCCTAAAATTTATCTAAGGAGGTGATTTAGGGAGCCCATTGTGGATGCTCTAAGTCTTTGTGTAAATGGGTTAAATCACTAAAACAAACCCTATAATATAAGTCTATGTGTGACAAAGTGAGGTATATTTGATTTTGACCCTCACTTTGGAGTAACCTCTACCTTCTCTATCACCAATGGCTTTCCTGCTTCCCATGCGACCGCAGCTTTAAGAAATGGTCATTGTGCACCAAAGTTCTAAACCTCGAATACATTTTGTGTGTGTTTATATATGTACATATATGTAATGAGTGCACAGGAGTCAAGATTTTTGTACTTGAAAATGCCAATTGGCAACCAAAGAGGTGATATTGAGAATTGTTTACACCCAAAATGAACAGCCAATGAGAACAAGACACGTGGAGGAAATCGTGCCTGGTCAGAGATGCCTTCGGCATCCTACCTTCCGATTGCTCCATTAGGGCAACGCCCTCTCCTGGGACACGTGGCATGCTCCCAAGCAACGTCCACAGTCCCACATCGAAATTATCAACAAAGTACACACCTCCCAATGCTTATAAAAGAGGCCAATCCCCCCAAAATGGAGGTAATCAGAACTTACGACATACAAGCCTATTGATCTGTCAGTTGAACTTTCTAATCCCGAACTTACTTAAGCATCGGAGAGCTTACGGCCGGTACCACACCGGTGCCCTAGGTCTTACCGAGCGTATTCTCTTTTTGCAGATCACGCTCCCTACAGAGGCCTCAAGCATACCGAAAGCATAAAATTACTAAGTTGACCACTCCACAGAACTCTCTCTTTCCCTCTATTGTGAGGAAGGCAAAGATGGACTGGCCACACCCACATGTGGCTAGGAGGGGAGAAAAATTAAGGCTCTCTACTAACACTTTGATGAATTAACCCGAAATGTGATGGATTACACTCGGCACAAATTTGATGAGTTTGCTTTGATTTTGATTAGGAAATCGCATTTTAAAATTTCTAGTAACATCTTCAAATTTTTAGCTAAAATATAACTAAAACTTTGGGGAGATAGACAAGTGTTAAAGATGAACTAGCACACACAGGTCATAACTGATTGGTACATATCAATTCAACCTAGAGTTTCATGAATTCTGAATTGGAGCCACCAAAGTCTGAAGCCTAACCCAAAACACAATGATTCAAATTTTCGTCATGGAACCAACACAACTAGGCCAAATTGTATCTCCAATGTTAGCAATCAAAATGTAGCTGCTGTAATCCAGAAAACATACATCATGAACACATTCAAAAGCCGATATCATGGCGTTAATATTGCCTGTGCACTCTATGCTCCTATCAACTCCACCGTTTGTCATCTCAGCAATAACCTGCATGATTTCAAACATCAAATTTGAAGGTTGGATATAACTTTACTATCTATGTGGATTGATGTAGCAACATCTGATACGAATAAAGAATTGTTTTTCACCTCTTGCACTGGTTTG